AAATTACGATGCATAAGTTGAATTTATTCTTGTTCTATTTTGAAATTCCATGACCAAATAATAGCAGTTTTTTTTGTTTTTACTTTGATTCTATTGGTTTTTTATATGTATAAATTTCTTCTGTGGACTAACATGAGCATGTTTGTTGATTTACTGTCCCGTTTTTTGTTTTTATGGTTAACAGCTTTTATTTCACAATTTGTGTAGTTGAATTTCGCAATACATATGCTTTTTAATTAAAATCTGAGGCTCTTTTCAAATTTATGAACACGGGAGATGCCTTTTTTTCTCCCATTTTGCGCGTAAGGGTTTTTGGCTTCTTTGAATTCAGTGAACAATATTCTCACATTAAATTCCATATTGCTTGTTTCGATATGCAAACTAAAGTGACGAAAATCTGTCTTTCAACTGTTTCAACCCTTATATCCATGCAAGACAAATTATTTTCCAAATATATCTATAATATGTTTATATGTTACACTCATCTCTCTCTACATTTTTTCATCAACCTTTTCATATATTTAATTTCTGACATGACTTGTAATTATCCATCCGTTTTGTCAAATGAGTGTGGACTTATATTTATATTTAATCTTTATTATCCGCAGATCGTCACGTTTAATGCATTAATTTGCAGGTGCATTTAAAAACACAAAAATGTGCTCAAAAAATAAACAAAGAGAGAGAATATTTTATGCAAACACCAAGGCATTATTAATTAATGTGCATGGAACCTTTTGTTTTATTATATTGGATATATATACAAGAAGTTTTTTGTCTTTTCTAATTTCCTTGTTTACAAAGCGTCTGAGTCATAATAATATAGCTGGATATGATCTTGTTAAAAAAACTGACCATATTTGCAGTTGTACTGTATGTATGACTACTTGTACATATGGAAGTTTTTTCTCTGTGCATGTGTTTCTTTTTGTTTTTGGAAATTATTAAAAAGTCTTTCTTGATGTTTGTACATGAATCATATTGAAATTATATCGTGTCTTTCCATTTTGTTCCCTGTGTGGGGAATAAAGGTTTTTGACATTTCATTGCTTCAGTTTCTTTCTGAGCAAGTGTTGAGGATTTACATAGTACAACTGGCTTGTTTTGTGAGGTTTAAGGCCATCCAGTAATGTACTGACCATGTAGTCCCAATTAGCTATAAAGGGAAATTAGAAAAAAATTAAAATAATGATAAAAAAAAAATCCAAGGATCAATTCATGTTGAACTATGGAGTGGATGCTTCTAATCACAAATTCTTCTTGTGTGAGTCTATATGTTTTTAATAAAATGCATACTTATGCTATGAAATATCATATTTTTTAGAGCATGTCATTTAAGTTTAAAACTAAGGATATGTATAATCATAAAAACTATGGTTATCTAGCAGCAACTTTAATTTTTTTAATTGTTTTTTAATCGCAAATTTTTCTATGAGGTGATCTGACTGTCAGAAAAGTCAACCCGGCATACATTTTTAACAAAAATGCATATTTATGCTAGGAAATACATTTTTGTTTTTTTTGTTTATGTTGTCTTTTAGAGTATGAAATTTTAATATAAAAGTTTGGATATCTGTTACAAAAAATACGGTAACCTAACTAGTCTTACTTTTTTAAATTGTCTAGTTATTTTTAAATACAATTTCTTGTATGAGGTGTTTAACCGTTGAACAGGTCGACCGATGACACATTTTGAGTATAAGTTTAAATAATACTATGCAATGCCATACTTCTGTTTATGTTATTATTATTTACAGTATGATATTTCAATTTGATAGTGTAGATATATGTAAAAAAGAATATCACTACCTAGGAGATCGTACTTTTGTTTTGTTTTGTTTTGTTTTTTGTTTTTTTTTTAATGTCTAGGAAGTTTCTAAGCTCAAATTGTTTTATGAGGAGGTCTAAGAGCATCTCCAATGCTCTACTTTGAACATTAATTAAATTTGAACACATGTCAAATGATGAATGGAATGTAAATCCATGTAATATGAATGTCAAAAGAAAAAACTTTAATTTGGAATATACATCTCCAATGCATCCCTTTCAAAACCTTAAAATATGTTAATTTTTTATAAGTTGGCTTTCAAACACTCTTTGGAAAACTAGAAAGTGGGCTTCACACTTTGGATATTTATTGTCTCCATGTCAGCATAAAAGAGTCCATAACATTATGGATTGGAGAGTAATTTTTGTAATCACTTTATAACTTAATGATGTGATTAACATTTTATTAAGTCAACATCTCACATTGGAGATGCTCTAACTGTTGACACCGGGTCGACCCGATATAATTTTAAAAGTATATACTTATGCATTGAAAAGTCATAATTTTATTTATGTTATTTTTTAGAGTGTGATGTATATTTCTATTTGAAACCATACATATTTATTAAAAATAATTAAGGCGATTTAATCATTAGGTCCACCAAACAAAAGTTATATTCTTTCATATATATATATATATATATATATATATATAANCACCCACTCATCGTGATGTGGCATCCTCACTGCCAAGTGATACATAGAGCTGGATAAAATTGAAAAAAAAAATCGAAAGGGAAGAGAAGAGTATCGGCCAGAAGCAATTGTAGTCCAATGTATCACCGCTCGACTTTTTGATTTGGACAACCATGAAAGTCGGGTCCATCGCAAATAAGTCGGCCGCTATCACCGCCGGAAGAAATCGGAGCTGTCAACTAATAGGCGAAGAAAAAACGGTTCGTTGGAAAAAGTCACCGATTCCGGAGATGGTGGACGTCGTCAGGTGCGCAGCGGAGCAAAGAGTCCGAAGGTGTCCTCGAATTCCTGTGGGCCGCCATGTATTGACGAAAAATTGAAGAAGAAGATAAAATTTTGATCGAAATTTTCTAGATCGAAAAACATTGACTAGAGAAATTGACGGCCTTACCAGTGGAATTCTAGCTGAAAATTTTATGAGGTGAACGAGGATGAGAAGAACGTGAAGAAGTTGTAAAAAATATTCAATCGGAAGTGGTGGGCCGGCGGCCGGCAGAGAAAGATGGCTGGGACGAAATAGAGTTTGGGATTGTTGAGGTTCATTTTTAAAATTCAATAAGTTCTACTATTTTGTAGTTTTAAAATTTTCAGACTGTAACTAACGCTTTGAGCTGATGTGGATCATTTAATTTTGAAGTCAACATTCTAATCACACCATCACATAAACCACAATCATACTATGTTAGGTTTAAAAATGTCACGTCACATTTTTATTCGGGATGCGAATAGAAAAAGACTAAAATTGATTAAATTGTCAATGACAGGGTGAAAATTTTGATTTTGACTCATTTTTCGGACCAATTTTAAATTTTGGCATGAGCGAAATTGGTATGAGAGAAGTCTAAACTTTCCAAAAACTAATAACCAAAATTTGTTTAATATGTGACGCATATTTATAAAAAGGTGAGGGTATGACTTCAACTGTAAACTTGTATTACTAAATAACAAAGAAGTTAAGCATACAAATTGTATGCGAGTGAAATTTCCTCATTTTTATTATTTCTTTTAAAAAAGGTGACATTTCCTCAAACGAACCAGCAATAGGTCTCGAAATTGCTGACGGGGCTTTTGGTTATCTGAAGAAGGAAAAAGGGTAGAGAGCTTTTGCCAGAAGTGTTACAAAAAGAGAACTTGAGATTTTATACTTCTGCTTCTCATTTCTAGTGTCTCCAGTCATCCCCAAACCAAATGGACCCCAAATCCTTTTTCCATATTATTTTCATCCGCCATTTAAAGAGCCTTTCTGATTTTCTCTCCAAATTCTAATCCTTTCCAGAAGCCCCTGCCAAAATCTGAAACCATGTCTTTTGTGTTCAACCCATCCTCAATTTGTCAAAAATGAAAATTTTGTCAAATTCAGTCACATTAGATTTTTATCTGACCCTCATAACATATATATATTTTTTTTAATAATTTTGGCAATTAAGTTAGTGTATGAAGTATGGAGAAAAATTCAAAATTAGTCCCACAAGTATAGGGGTCGATAATTTTGGTCCCGACGGAATGCAACAAATATGAGTAGTCCCACAGCTTTTAAAAAATGATCAAAAGTAGGACTTTTTTTGCCGGATTTACTGTTTCCGGCCCGGAACGCCACGTGGCGCACATGTGGTTTATTTTTTTACACGCTGGCATCCGACGTAGATAGGAAAAAATTCAAAACTAGTCCCACAAGTATAGGGGGGTGACATTTTTTGTTCCGATGGAATGCAGAAAATTCAAAACTAATCCCGCAACTTGTAAAAATATATGAACACGTCGGATGCCAGCGTGTAAAAGAATAAGCCACGTGTGCGCCACGTAGCGTTCCAGGCTGTAAATAGTAAATCCGACGAAAAAGTCCTACTTTTGATCATTTTTTAAAAGTTGTGGGACTATTCACGTTTTCTGCATTTCATTGGGACAAAAAATGTCACTCCCTATACTTGTGGGAATAGTTTTGAAATTTTCCCTCAAGTTTGGTAACATTCAACGTAATGTACAACTATTGCACAAAGGCCAACGTAGTGGATTAAAATTGAAATTTAATTGCTTCCTATTTTCACGAATGCATACTGCAATGAACAAGAATAAAAGCAAAAAAGGTAATTCCTAATATTTCAAATGCTATCTTCAAATTAAAGATCGGACACCTAAATCAATGAGACTGTCACGTTGACCCCTACTGTATAAAGTTGCCAAGTCGACTTCTATGTTAATATTTGATGATCAACATGCTTATTCAAAATTAGCGAATATTATAGTTAATATCGTTTGTCTTTTCTTTGTAAATGAAAATTTTAATTAAATTTTGGTGTATATGAAAAGATAATAAGACAAAAATGCGACTAACCAATAATTATTCTATTAAAAATATATATATTTCCCCAGAACTTATAATTAATTTTGACTTGGCACAGGTAATTTAGGTTAGATGATTGATGAACAAAGAACTATGTGGAGACATGCATTAAAATGGACAGCTTTAGGTTTGCAATAATTGGACGCTGAATTACATAGTTGAACAAAACTAACTAATCCCGTGATCCGTCGTAGTCATCACAGTTTAAGTGTTCTGTAATGTGCCTAGCTAACACCATTAATTTGAATGAATCAATGCAGTTTCAAACAGCTCATCTTCATCAGGTTGTCATTGACTTATTAGTAACTTGGTCTGCCTTGCTATCTCGATTCTCTTCTGTGTCCATGTGTTTTGTTTAATTTAAATAAGGCGTTTGAAGAAACTGGCGCAATAGACCTTGAAATTAGTGCCTTCATTAATTGGCTTCCTCGTAATAGATTTACTTGAAGGCATTAGCATATATTTAGCACAGTTATCGAAGTAGACTCATCTTCATAATCAGTCTTAGTTATTTATGATTTATGTCATGCAAGTGTAAGATATGACGTATACAATTGTAACCATAGGTTTATATATATATATATATATATATATATATATAGAGAGAGAGTTGAGATTCAACGAGAATAGTTGATAGTGAAAGAAATAACAATAAATATATATGTAATATTAGATCTAATATATCAATGGTCATAATAAGTCAAATCTTCAATATGACAGTCAAACATAATTGTAAATAAATGACGGAATCTAAGCGGCGGTGGCTCTGGTGGCGATGACGGAATCTAAGAGGCGGTGGCGGGGGAGGAAAACGATGGTTACGGCGGATTGGATAAGTTATAGGGACTCAATTTTAATAATGTGCAATTTTATGAACTTTAATATATTATAATTTAATTCATGGGTCAAATTTATAATTTACAAAAGATTTAATAATTACATATTAATGTTATGTAAATTGCACGTCATTGATAAGTAAATTGCACAATATATGGGCGGTACCGTAATTAACCAACTCTTTAAGTGTGAACGCAACAAACCAAATAATTACGGTACCGCCCCTAGTGTGAACACTCGCAGTATATAAACAACCTCGTTTGGATACGCACATTATAATATTATATATTTATATTTAAATAAATAAATAATATTTTTGATATAGCTTTTTCGGTTCTGTCATTTTAAAAAATAAAGTCAACATCAAACTGAAATAATTAAAATTTTAAAATTTAAAATAGTTAATCGAATTGAAAAAATTAGTTCGTCCTGTTCCAATCGCTATTGTGCATTAATCTAGCATTCGTTAACGTGCAATCCGTCTAACACTAATGTGCACTCATAGTACAACCATCTTTTAACGATTTTTTTTTTCTAAACTAAACTAAGAACAACATAATTGAATTAATCGCCCGATTAACCAAATTATACTAAACAATCGTAACAATTTATTATTTATTTTATAAAATTATATTATGTATCTTTAATACATTAATTTAATATTTTATACTATTTTTTGGTTGAAAATACACAATATATATCTCATACATACATATATTATTACATAAAAATATAATATTTTATAGGTTTGGTCGATTCAGTTATTTTAAAAAATAAAGTCTATGTCGAAGTAAGATAACTAAAATTTTAAAAGTAAAAACAGATATTCTAATCGACATATAATAAATAGAACCAAAAGTTTTAATTTGCTTGATTTCGATAGTTGTTGTGCATTCTGACAGTCATGTCATTAATGTGCATCCTGTCTAGCAGTATTGTACATTCTGCATTACAAACATATTTAATGTGCATATATACACGCAATATACTTAACATTAATGTGCAATAATTAAAGTTTTGACCAATAGTTGTCGTTTTTCCTGCTAGCACTTGCAGCGGCTAATGGCATATGATCTGAGTAAGTTGGTTGAGTAGGAGAGGGTTGACCCATGAACTAAATTATAATGTATTAAAATTTATGAAATCGCAATTAGGTCCCTGTAACTTATAAAAATTTTCACAAAAGATACCCAACCCCAAATTAGTTCTCAATGCGCATTTGAGTCGCATAGCCTCCGTCCTGGGACGCACGGCTCCACCCACGGCATCCGCGTCGGAGAGAAGGCAGCGACGACAAAAGAGGAAGGACGTGCTCTAAGATATTGGGGTCTCGATAGCGGCTGAGGTGTGAGGTCAGGAAAGGTGAGAACCGACACACGCTCCTCCTTGGGCTAGAGAATAAATCTGAGCTGTTAGAAATCATTGAACTTCTCTAGCTCCTTGTAGAGAATCGCCACGAACCAGCCCTAAAGCATCGGCAATCGACGTACGTCCGACAACAGATCGACGGCGAGGCATTGGTTGTCGGTGGGGTGAGGCAGCGGATGGGGTAGAGAGGGGCTCCATTCCGCGCCCTATTATCTCTATGGCCTAGAAGCTAGGCTCTTAATTAGGGCGTGGTATAATTCCAAATAAAGTTTAGGTTTTGGATATATTTACAAATAAGAATTAAGATTAGCATATGTGCAATTATTTATAAAGAGTCATGATATATGTGTAAAAAGAGCCTAGAATAAATTAATCATAAAATTTGGGAAACAGAACATTAACAAGTTCTCAGCCCATAAAAGAACTAGAATTGTTCACTCATTGGTGGGAACAATATTAGGAAATAAACTAATAGCTAATTATGTTAATTTTATAAATTTTATACTTTAACTTAACATTGGTGAGAACAATATTTGATTTAATATTCTTATCTTGGGTTACTATAAATGTAAATTATCCGACCTAAACGCAGTAGCATCGTTCAGACTTCAGAGTTAACAAATGTTGGTAGCTAGTCTCTATGTTCTGGTCCTTGTGGACACACATGGGTGTTTATCGTCCTATCAAATAATAATAATAATAATAACGACAAATAGAGAGGTTACGAGATGATATAATCTGTATAATCCATGAACAATATGATTGCACAAGATACATCCTGATTATACTAAACAACATCAAACCACATAAATTTTCTAATGTTACAAGATATATAAGACCAAATCCTGTGATTCTAACAATAGCTACCAATACCAAGAGGGTGGGGATGAATATACTACATCCATCACTCCCAGAAAAACCACAATCTTCTTTATATATCTAATCCAAACACCACAACATACCACTGTATATTTCCTTTCGTCATTCTTTCTTCTTTATTTATTTATTATTATTATTATTTTCTGTTCTCCATCAGAACCTAACTTTGCTTCTGTTTCTTCTCAAAATAAGTGAAATTCCTCTGAAAATCCAATACCGCACGCACCAGGTGCCGGAATCCAATATCCGGCCACAGCACCCCAGGGGAGTACAGTAAGGTCGACGTGCTCTGCCACAGCAGAAAATTGCTCAGCCGAGTCTCGCCCGAGGTCCGTACCAAAACATCCGGGTCAGGCGCAACTGCCATATCCATAGCCCTATCAACATCCGCCACATCAGCACGGCCCTCGAGTTTTCTCTCACTGCACGTTTTCTCGACTGCTCGCAAGATCTCGTCCGTCGATGTGTAGGCAAGGCAAATCGAGAGCACGGCCCTCGAGTTTTGCGCGGTGGCCCGCGTGGCCCGTTCGGCAGCCGACTGAACGGGCTTGCTCAGAAGCTTCATGTTCCCTATGAAGTGTACCCGCACCCCATAACGGTGGATAATACTCTCTTCCTCGAGTAAGCCCTCGATTTTTTCCTGTATTAATTGCATGGTGGATTGTACCTCCTCAGGACGCCTTTTGAAGTTGTCGATGCTGAAGGCGTAAATGGTTATGTATTTAACGTTGAGCTCGTAACAGTATTGTAGCATTCTCATGAGGGCCGAGAAGCCAGCCCGATGGCCCGCTGCCCCTTCTTGAAGGTTCCTTTTCTTGGCGTACCTTCGGTTACCGTCCATGATGAAGGCAATGTGTTGAGGGATGGGGCCCACTGAGAGGATCGAGAATATGCATTTGCGGAGGAAACTCCAGAAGACTTCGAGTAATTGAAAAGCCCAATTATTGTGTTCTTTTTCCATGAGCACTTTGGATATATAGAAAGAAAAAAAAAGAAGTGTGTTATGCTATATTCAGAACAAAGCTGATAACAACAATACGGATCAGAGTTTATTTTCTGGTAAACCGAAAAGTGAATGTATCATGTGTGTATATAGTAGAAACACAGGCAAGAAAACCAAACATGCCTCGTGAATAAAATCTAGATACGAAACCAGTAAAGGGAAATTGCTCACATATAAAGCATGAGTCACCTGTCAAGTATAGAGCTATTCAATTGCTCACATATAAAGCATGAGTCACCTGTCAAGTATAGACCTATTCATCTATGCCTATTATGCTGGTTTGGGAAGCAAATAATCAAGGAGTGCAATGAACCTTCATGAAAATACTAAACCTATTAACAGGCAAGTTTGACTTAAGGACAAAAGACACTTTTGAGCAAACTTGTACAATTATAGTCAATACAGAAAATAATAGAAGCCATTAATAATGAAATAGCTCTTACCTAACAAGGAGAAACAAGAATTACATTCACCATCTTAGCTAAAGATAGAAAATGAAAACATATAACCTGATTATGAGAAAGAAAAATTATAACTGCGAGGGGTTCAATTAAAGGCCTAGGTTTGTTGTTTATTGCCAAGGAAGGCTGTGCAAGAGTTGACTTAACATAGTCGTCGGTTTTGTTTCCCTCATTATCAAATGGAGGGCATCTGTGGTATGTGTTAAGTGATATTTTTTAGCCTAATCCTATATCATTAATAAATCCAAGATCCACCTTTTTAACAAACTCCACCTTTCCTCATTTTCATTCTTCTTCTTCTTCTTTATCCCTTCTTCCAAAAAGGGGGAAAAAAAAAAGAAAAAAAAACATAAGTAGAAGAAAACCTGTTGCCCTTTTCATCTGTGTGCCATAAGACCGAACATATTCTGAGAATTGATTTCAAATAATAAGAATAATACACTTAATTCAATAACAACCTATGAATTTACAAAACCCAGTAATAACAGCAAATCTAATGTCAAAGAAGATGCTCATTACTGCATATCCAAATCAATAAAAATTCTCAATTGTCAAAGAAGATACTCATTACTGCATATCCAAATCAATAAAAAATATCTCCAAACTACAAAGAAATCACAATAATAGTATATCCTGTAAACGTGGCTCTAATGCAGCCCGTGCTTAATGGGAACTAGTTCATTGAGTTTTATAAAAGCAAATATAGTCAACAAACATCAGTGATCATACATATACAAATTCTTGCAGAAGAGCACAAAAAGTATATAAGCAGGTTGACTATTTACTTATTTCTTCCAACGAATAAGTCTTTACAGCACAGTCAATAAAAATAAAATGAATTGGACAAATATCTCACAAGAATTCAGAGAAACGTGGTAATATATGTACCTGATTATTCAAATCGTAACGAAAATGGGAAAGAAAAAATTCTCCTAGTCCTTTGATAAGAAAATTCACACGCACCTCTGTCAATGACTACGAATTAGCTTTATTGAAATTATTCGAGGAATTTAAGGTGTTTGTAGAAGCAACGAAAATAAAGGGTAAAATCAATAAAGAAGACATCCACAAGAAGAATAAAGGGGAGTGGTGCTTTTAAACAGAGCTTCCAGAAAAATAAAAGGCAAGGAGCTCGGTTAAATCTCTTCCACAAATTTACGCTAGAGTAGAGACAAATTTCAAGAAACATAAAAGCGACATTTGAGGTTCCGCTTTTATGTACTCTAACATCAGTGAACAGAGAGATAAATACCTTCAAATATTCCCCATCTTACATAAAATATATGGCTTAAATTAGCAACAGCAGCACAATAACAGCAGGAAGGAACAAAATATGAAACTTTATCTAAAAAATAACAACAAAAGGCTGTTCGGGAGCTAAGCAAAGATAATACACCAAACAAATAGTAGACATTCATATTTTATTCGCCCTGTGAAATACCAAAGCAGGAGAATTCCAACAAGAAAACACAAAAATCTCAAGGAAAAACTTCAATTTAAGAACAAAATTCATGCCTTCAACGCAAAGATCAAACAAAAGAAAACAACCATTATACGAAAAATGGAAGTTCGACAAATTACCAAGAAATTTGGGCTAATGGCTGTTCAATCCGTTAAAACCGAACCGAACCGACCAAAATTTCGGTTTATCCAGCCAGTAAACCGAAAACCGAACCGAAGTTTATGGTTCGGTTCTGTTTCAAACCGAAAATCTATCGGTTGGGTTATCAGTGACCGGAATTGTAGCTGTCGATGCTCCTCCTTAGGACTTGCCGGTCAGCTCCCGAGGCCGGACAACAAAAGTGCAGTCGGGTATGGGTATTGACGAGCCACAGCCGCGGTTGAATGTTGACTAACCAGATCGGGCTTTCGAACAGAGCCCGAAGGTCGCTCTCACGCCACCAAACGCGGGCCCTCGCGGCATCGTTGGCCTCTCAGATGCACCGCAAATCGCCTCCAGTCGCCGCCAGTCCCACATCTCCGCACTTCTTGCACCTTGGGAATGAAGAGAATTTGGGGAAGATTTGAAAAATAATTGAGGTTCCCTGTGTGAAAATTAGTAGGTGTATGTGCTACCTTGACCCGTGAGAGAGAGATTGAGAGAGATGAAGTGATGAACGATTTGTGTTCTGGGGTCTCTGCTGATTGCAGATTTGGATTGAGATATGAGATGGAAGGAAATTGATATATTGGGCCTCAAGGAAATCAAATTGGGTCAAGATTAACAGGAACTTGTTAATAATATATTGGAAAGAGGTGCACAAAAACATGGGCTGGGCTTAGGTATTATATTTATACATGAAAAAAACGTAATACATGAAAAAAAATACGCTGTTCTTAAGAATATTAGAAAAAAAATACATGAAAAACTCTTGTTATTTATCGCAAGATTGATTGGATATAAAAAGTTTTTGTTTTGATTGAATTTTTGGTTTGAGTTGGTTAAATTTGAAAAAGTTGGTACGATTAGTTGTTAGTGTGTATATTAAAATAATATTTAAAATAAAATGATTAAGATTAAAGTGATGTAAAAATAGGATAGAGAAGATGTGATATGATGGTTAGGTAAAATTATGTAGTTGATGAATAGTGAATTAAGGTTGATGGTGTGTATAAGAATGATTGATTGATATTATTTAATTATATTGATAATATTGATGATAGTGGGGTTGAGTTAAAGTTGAGTAAAAAAAGTGGTTGAATTAAAAATGATTGGATTTTTTTATTTGGATTTCTTGGTCAAGTGGACAAGATTGCAAGTGAATGCTTGTGAAGGGTCTCAAATCAAGCTAGACGATTATTCAGTCGAACCCACAGAAATATACAACGAAAAAATTTCAAAATATTATCTCCGATACCATTTCTTGCATTGTTAGGCGTGGATAATGATTCCACATCGACAAGTAGCATTGAGCAAACCATTTCTTTAGAAGATTATCTTGAAGGCAGGTGAAGTCAGTTCCCCAGCTTCAATTAACCGTAAATTTTTGCAGAAAAAATCGCCGAAATTTCTTATACTTCGATTTAAGTAAATGATGGCCGCATTTAAGTATTCTCATGTTCTGGTTATAGTAGCCATAGCTTTTTTGTAGGTTATTGGACAAAAGAACACCTCAAATTGTATATCTTGTAATAATTTTTTTCGGACAGTGATCCGGACGAGCCTTCGGATCAATCTCTTAATCAATTATCAATATGAATAATGCACGTATATGGCTCGTTGATTAGAGTAAAAAGATCCTCACTTTATAATAATCTTTTGATTTCCAAAAGCAAGTTAAGAGAAAAATGCAAAGAACATTAAAAGAGATGGAGATAGATACAATCTCACTTTTACCCGGGCAAAGCTATTACCTTTAGTACAAAAGAATTGATCTATTGAGTTGCTCGAATGTTGGTTTGTATGGTTTTTTAGGATAAAATGAAAGTTTATTAGGCGACCGAGCATTTCTTCACTTGGCCTCGACATCTAGTAGGTCGCTAAAACTATGGCTACTGAAAATTTGGAGGAAAGAACAAAGAGTAGGTTTTGGATAAAAATGTAGGCTAAGGTTGCCATTGCATATATAAATATTTTTGTTTTTGTTTGTTCATTTTCAAATAGGAAGCCAGAGAGTATTGTTAAGAAAATTATTTTTAAAATTAAATAATAATAACAACAAAAAATATATTAGTTTTTAAATACTTTTTTTTAAATATAATTATTTATATTTAAAATGACTCTGTCACTTACACGACCTACCATCTTATATTATAATTTTTTTTAATTTATATGTGACAACTACTTTGTAACTAAGTTAGTTTAAATAACAATATTTTTTTGAATTAATATTAATAAGTAATTTAATTTTGATTATAAAGATAAATAAAATTATTTATTTATTTTGTATGTTTAATATAAATGTCAAATCGAAGTTCATCAGGATATGATTAATTTGTCATATTATATAAAAAAATATTTTATAAATAAAATTTTTATTTACTTTTAAATATATTTATAATTTAAGTTTGTATATTTGTTATAATTTTAAAAGAAATATGAGGAAAAAAAATTAAACCTTATAAACCACATCTACACTAGCAAATGATATTAAAACATAATTAATGCTTTTAAAAAAGGACCATAAAATATCCAATATATTTATGGTTATCCAAGCCTAGTTATTTTTGGATTATAAATAAATTAAAACTCATCCAAACCAAACAACAACAAACCTTAAAAATTTGCCACATCGGATTCCGAAGTGTGCAAGTCTGCCACTTAGGCTCAGCACATTCGGGGAATTATCTATAAGGTGGATTGCAAGAATTTTACAAGGCACAATTTATTCAAGATAAACTTTTTACATTTTTTCTCTATTTTTTTTTATTTGTATACAAATTAACAACGGTATTTAAAGGAATATATTTAAATCCAACTGATCATTTTAAATATTAACGCCAAATTTTATCTCGATTATAGATTAAATTAGAGTCGGTTGTGCAGGTATGCTATGTACAAGTTCTATATCTTATTCCTACTACTTTCAGAACATGTGAAGAATTATAAAAATAAATTCAGTCGATATTTAACTTGATTATCGACTAAAAGTTCTATATCTCATTCCTACTACTTTCGGACCATGTGAAAAATTATAAGGATAAATTCAGTCAATATTTAACTTGATTATGGACTAAATTTGAGTCAGCTGTTCATGCACAACTGTAAGACTGCTAGGGTGTGTATATATCATAGTTTTTCAACCCGGACCAACCCGAAGGGTCGACCCGGGACTCGGTCGACCTGAAGCCGGAACCGATCTGGGTGGGCTATTTGGACCGGGCAACAAAGGACCCGGTCAAAACCCGGCCTTAACCCGGTCGACCCGGGGCATTGACCCGGCCGGGTAAATCCAGTTGACTCGACACTTATATATTTTTTTATTTTTTTTATATTTTTTTATTTATTTTAAAAAAAACTATGTATATTATACATATTATTAACACTCTAATGTACATATTTATATACAAATTATTTAATTTTGTTACTTTTTTGTATATTGATATGACAAAATACTCTATATATAATATTAAAAATTTTAAAAGTAATTATGTGGTTCAGCAATTGACCCGGTGACCTCGAGACCTGCCCGGATCGATTCTCGAGCCGGAATTAAAAACTATGGCATATATATATTTATATATATATATATATATATATAAATGATCAATAAATTAACTATAAAATTTTGAAATTAAAATTTGAATAAATTCCTAAATAAAATAAAAAATTACTAAAGTAATTTAACATGGAATTGACAGCTCACAAATTTATTTGTCTACAAGTCCATTTTCATCAAAGCATTTAAGCTGTGTTTGGTAAAACTAGCTGATAAGCTAGCTGATAGCTGATAAGCTAGCTTATAGCTTATAAATAATTTTTTAGCTTATAGCTTATAGCTTATGACTTATAGCTGAAAAGCTAGCTTATATGATAAAAATGTTTGGTAAAATTAGCTGATAAGCTAGCTGGAATAAAAAATTCAACTAGCTTATTTGAAAAGCTATCTAAAGAAGCTTATCAAATAAGCTCGAGCTTTTTAAAAAAACTCGTCCTACCAAACGAGACTTATTTGAATACAGGAAGCTTATAAGCTCACCAATAAGCTATAAGCTAGCTTATTTGGCTTACCAAACACAGCCAGATTTAATAACACATGTATCAAAGAAATCAAAAAGGGTATCAAAGAAAATCGAAGCATGACTCACTTTTTTCCTGATTACAAGTAAATTGATGGCATTGTCAATTTCCATTGCTATTTTAGGCCATTGTTCAAACAAAAGGGCGAGGTTAATTGCAATTCAAGTAACCAATATTAGAAAAATTTGTCGCTTTCCTCTGTTGTTTTGTTCAGAAAAAGGACACCGAAAACAGAGTTCATTAACCCAACTACTCCATATAATGGCTGGCACCGAAATCAGAGTTCACCTTAGGTTTTATACTCCCCATTTTTCTCCCCATTTTATACACCGAAAACAGAGTTTATACTCACCATTTTTCTCACTATCCTACTGAACCAGAAATTTTTTCACATCTGCAAGAGTTCGATAATGGCTGGCACTAAGAGAGGAAGAGCTGGGGCGAGGAAGACGGGAAAGAGTTGCCCAGCAAAAGTGAAACCAGCGCCACCTGAACCTTCTCAAGGCTCGGCCACCATACATAGCGATTCTGCAGATTTGGTACAAATTGAAAAGATCTACTTTTGACCCAAAACACAAAAGAAAAATAAAAGAGAATAGTGATATTTGTTTCTTGCATTTGTAACTTGGTATGCATTTTTGGTATGTGTGTGTGTGTGTTATGAGCGGAGTGAGTTTTCTTGGTATTTTGGCTTCTACTAGTCTCATGTTGTTATGCAATGGAATGAGTTTGCTGAGATTTTTCATTGTTTTTTGTTTTAGTGGAGTAGTTGATGTGTCAAGTTCTTTCGATTTTGTTTCTTTCGGAGTATCTATGCATTGGGCTTGAACAATCTTGGTGCAAATGTTGATATATTGTTGTATGTTTGTGTAAGAAAACTAAAGAAAGACAGTATCTTGGTGCAAATTGTATTGTTTATTACTTGACAGAGATTTGAGTAAATTGCCTTTCTAATTGTTTCAGTCCAGATCCTTCACTGTTGGTTGTGCAAATACATAAGTGTTCTCATTCTTTTCCCCTTGTTATTCAGTACTTGATGACCACTTCCTTTCTCATTAAATTGTTTAGGACTTCTTACCATCCCGGACTGTTCTGAGAAATGTCCGTGCTCGATCAGCTTCATTACGTTATCCATTTCGATCTTCAGGAACTCTACACAATGCGGCCTCAGAACAAACCCCTAAAGATCTAGTAAGTCAAAGCCACTGCACGAGCCACTTTTATTAATTTATTTACAGAGTTAGTATGCGTCCTCGTTTGGTCTCTACGTATCTAAATGCAGAATATTCGATCATGATTGACAATATCAAGTAAATGTATCATTGTGTTGAAACTGGAGTTTGTATATGCAAATAGAATCTGTGACAAAATCAGAAATTAATGCAACTGAATATTGGAAACATATATGGTTCATTGATACAGAACTTATTTTGAAAGTAATTTCCACACATTTATTGAATCACAACCATTTGCAGTTAGACAAACAGAGAGGATTTTCACTATATTAATTTGTCCAATATCATTTAATCTCTTTCAGGCCTCCCAAGCGCCAGCTGGCTCCCCAGAGCAGTCGATCCTCAACAACATTCACAACACCGAAGAAGAACACTCGTCGCCACTCAGAAGGGCCGACAACACCAAAGTCGCAAATTCCAGCAAGGGCAAGTCCCCGTCTCTCGAGCCAATCATTAGCCAGCCTGTCAAGTATATCGATATCCAAGTTCCCCTCATCCAATGCCACAACGAAAAGAGCACGACCCACAGCTTCAACGTGACCGAGAACGCCAGAGGGCTCCACGTCAGCATGGAAGAAGAAGACCCCGACGACGAGGAGGTCGAGTCTTCCCTCGAGCCCGGTTTCGAGCTCGTCCACGGCCACAAGGTCAGGACCGAGACCGCACCACTGATCAGAAGCATATTCGAAAAACACGGGGATATCATGAGTGGGACCCACATGGAATCCCCCGTCTCCATCTCCAACTCACTCGAGCAGCTGAGTGGGGTGTGTGGGAGGCTGCAGCGGGCGAGGTTCGTGGAGCTCACGCGCGCTGAGCTGGACGCCATGCTGGCGGACGTGCGGGACATGGAGCGGGCGGGGCTGAGGATCGTTTGGCTGAGGGAAAGGCTGGAGTTCGTCTCGCGCACGTGGACGGACTACAGTCACTACTTCCGCATGAAGGAGTTGGTGGCGGAGAACGAGTTGTCGATAGGTGGGCTGGAGAAGGAGTTGGATGAGTGCAGGCAGCAGCATTTGGAGATGGGGAGAAAAATCTCGGGCTTGGAGGATGAGGTGGCGGCCAAACGGGAGAGGACGGAGAGGATGAGGAGTGCGGTTGTTAGCACGAGAAGTAGGGTTAAGGGTCTGGTGGATCAGAGTTTGGTTGAAGGTCTTCTTTAGTTCGTTCTGAGTCAAGTAGTGTGGATATATATGTTTTGATTTAGTAGTATTGGCCTATTGGGGACAGTTTTCATGCTTTTGGGTTGTGATGTCTGTTTGCTGCTGCTCATGTGTAATGTGTTCTGGTGTGGAGATGAGAAAAATGCAGTCAGGTGGCTTGGAGAATGCATATTGAACCTAAGTTTATTGCAAGTAACATTTTAGCACGTGATTTGGAGATTACCAAACCGTCTCAAAAATCGAACCAAATTCATCTCGAACCCAAAACTATTTGTTGACTGTTTGACTATCTCTGAATTGAACCGTACTATTTTTTTTTGGTACGGTTATGGAGATTCATAAAATATTTGTACCGAGAATCGAGTAAAAAATAACAGCACTGAACCGAAGAACCAAACAATAACTGATTTTAATTCATAAAATTCATATACGTATAATATTTTATCTTATGTTTTCTTTTCATATTTGTACATAATTGTATTTAAAATTGAATTGCAAATAAAATTCATATACATTATGTCTATGTCCATAAAACTATCAGAAATTATATTTAAAATTGAATTACGAATAAGCCTCCACTATTGATGTTTAATAGAATTTAATGATTGAATAAACAATTATTTTATTTTTGTAATGCATATGAGGTGCTAGAATATTTGTCCCACATCGTTCGTACATGGAAAATAGACCCACTTTATAAGATTAATGAGCTACTCCTTCAACCAATTAGTTTTGTGATGGAGCCCCACTTGGGCTTCATATGGGCTTTTCTCGTTTTCCCATAGTGCACTTCATGATAGTGGGTCCGCACCCATTTTCCCCCAGTTTCTCATAGTGCACTTCATGATAGTGGGTCCGCACCCATTTTCATAGTGCACTTCATGATAGTGGGTCCGCACCCATTTTCCCCCAGTTTCTGTCATGAGGCATTATTAAATCTAAGATCTCATTTCCAAATCAATCTTTTTTAAAAAATAAATAAATATATACTTCCTATCACAAACATATTAGACATTGCCTTGTAGGGCTAAGCACGGATCGATTTGGTTTGGAGATTCAGAAATCTCCAGAACCGAACTGAACTTTGGAGATCCCAAAAATTGGATCTTCAGAACTAACCGGTTTCAAGAAATCTTCGTTTCCAACCGAAACGAATTCCGATTCGGTTTGATTTCGTATATTCGGGTCTAATGAGACGGTTCGGTATGGATCGGGGATTGAAGAGATTTTCATTTTCTTGTAATTTTTATTTTTAAAAATTTAAATTACATACTAGATGGTACATATCATGGAAGGAAGGGAATCACAAACATCTCTTAATTTCGAAAGATATTTCGTCAATTAATCAGGTGTTTTTTTTATTTTTTTTTAATTTATAAAAAGAGTGATAAGTATCTTTTAGTTGCAAAATATCATTATTCAAAATATAATTTCATATGGAAAATTTCTATGCGAATCGTTTATATGCCAAAAAAAATCTCCAAGTGAAAAGACGTACGCATGAACAATAATTAATTTGAAGATAATTGCTTGTTACATAAAAAAATATTTTATAAATATATTACTTCCAATAAATTATTTCTTCCGGTATTGTGAGATACGCATATAGTACATATAAATATGTTTTCGAAAAATGTGGATATTTAATTTTATTAAGGTATAATATATTTATTTATCAATAAAATAATCAATATATCCGTTCTTAATCTAATATTATGGTAAAAATATCTATCAATTTATTTTTATTTGAAAATATATCACTTATAAACAAATAATTCTCTCCAAATTTTGTGAAAGATTTACATCATAAAGGCCGGTTTTCAAGCATTTGATATTTGAATTTGACTAAGTTACAATTAATGAATTTCTTAATAAAATATTTGACATGTTGGTTATCAAATCTTGTTATAGGAAGTGTATATTAATTTATTTTTCTTTTCAAAAGATTGATTTGGAAATAAGATATTAGATTTATTAATGCCTCATATGCAGTACGGAAATAAAATAATTGTTTATTCAATCATTAAATTCTATTAAATTAAATAGTGGATGCTTATTCGTAATTCAATTTTAAATACAATTATGTACAAATATGCAAAGAAAGCATAAGATAAAATATTATATGTATATGTATTTTATGAATTGAAATCGATTATTGTTCGGTTCTTCGGTTCGGTACATTTATTTTTTATTCCATTCTCGGTACAAATATTTTATGAATCTCCAAAACCGTACANAAAAAAAAAAAAAAAAAGAAATATTCGGTTCGAAGATGGCCAAACGGCCAGTAGATAGTTTTGGGTTCAAGATGAATTTAGTTCGATTTTTGAAATGGTTCGGCAATCTCCAAATCACGTGCTCAACCCTTAATGCCCAGTGTTAATATTTGTGAAGGAAATCTGAAGTATCTTAACAGTCCAACCAGAAAATCAAGAATCTGAAGGTGAAAACTGTTTAGCTATTTAACTGTTTCAAGCTAAAATGATACTTGCAGTTCATGTGTTTGTCATCTCCACTCCAAACACATGAACTGCTGCAAACAGACATCAAACGCAAAAGCATGAAAACTGTCCCAACTCCCAAATACTAATCAAACATATATCCACACTACAAGTCAGACCACCGTTTTACGAATCCAAAAACGAACTAAAGAAGCCCGTCTACCAAATTCTTACTCACAAGACTCTTAACCCTACTTCTGGTACTCACAACCGCACTCCTCACCACCTCACTCCTCTCCCGTTTAGCCGCCAGCTCATCTTCCAAACCCGAGATCTTCCTCCCCATCTCCAAATGCTGTTCCCTCCACGCGTCCAATTCCTTCTCCAGCCCACCTATCGACACGTCGTATTCCTTCACCAACTCCTTCAAACGGAAATACTGATTGTAGTCCGTCCACGCGCGCGAGACGAACTCCAGCCTTTCCCGCAGCCACTCGATCCTCAGCCCCGCTCTCTCCATATCCCGCACGTCCGCCAGCATGGCGTCCAGCTCAGCGAGCGTGAGCTCCACGAACCTCGACTTCTCCAGCCTCCCGCACACCCCACACAGCTGCTCGAGTGAGTTGGAGATGGAGATGGGGGATTCCATGTGGGTCCCACTCGTGATGTCCCCGTGTTTTTCGAATATGCGCTCGACTAATGGCACGGTTTCGGTTTTGACCTTGTGGCCATGAACGAGCTCGAAGCCGGGCTCGATGGGCGATTCGACCTCCTCTTCTGGGTCGTCCTCAGCATCGTCGTGGAGCCTGCGTGCAAACTCGGTCACGTTGAAGCTGCGGTTGTTGCTGGCGGTGCTCTTTTCCGGCGAACCCTTTTTTTCCTCGATCGAAATTTCGTTGGCGAGGATGAACTTGTCGACATGTATCGAGGAGTGTTTGCAATCAATGGATGCACCAGCCGAAATGGACTTGTTGTCGATGTTTGTTTTGGTGTTGTCAGTAAGGTAGTGCTGTGGGCTGTAGTTGACGGGACTCGGTTGTGTTGGCGATCCAGCTGGAGTGTGGGAGTCCTAAGTTTTGTTGAGAAACAGAATAAAAATAGAAGTAATTCAGAGACTGTATTTATTTGAAATTTGGACGAGGATGAATTTTCTCTTCGTTCGTCGAAATATGAATTGACATGATTCAGTTGATGTATGGTGGTATATAATGCATGAATGGCCAAAATGAGAATATAACAACTTGAAAGAGGGTGGTCTTCTTGAAACCAATAATGTAGTGCATACAAATTGCTGCTAACTGTATAAGTTAAACTGAAGGGGGCTGAAATTGACATCCAGCTTCCATGGGTGAGTACGACTAGTTGGTGGCAAATTGCTCAGTCACAAAAACTCAGTTTAGAACAGTGTATTAGCATCAACCAGAAATTTGGAGTACATCATGTCCAACAATCTTCATAGAAATATGAATGTCAACAAGCGCAAGAAACGGCGCTTCATAAATAAATTAAATAAGTAGTTCATGAAATGTGTGTTCACTTACTAGATCTTCATGGGACGGTTGTGAAGTACAATTCAGCTCCGGCATTGCATTGTCTTCATTTCGTGGAGGTGACTCTTGATGGGTTTCGTTCAGAATAGGGACTTCCGGGTTCAAGATAGACGAGGCACGAGTAGCTCTCGACACATTTCGAATTGGCTTCCTCAATGAAGAACGAATTGATCTTTGGGAAAATGCGAAGACCTATACAAATGGGGAAAAATGATTGTTGAAGTATTTGAATAACAGGAGACAACAATCGGAGAAATACCCGAAATTACAATGCCAAACAGAAAATAGCTAGAGATAAATGCTAATAGAAAGTGCAGATTTTCCATGCATTCTTTCACACAAGGACAAGTGATAGACAATCGAAAAACTCCATGATAAACTTGAATTTGTCCATGCTACAATTACAAGATCCATCAACAGTCAAATTGCTTTTGAAAGGAAAAAATATCTGAAATTTCTTTGGATAATAAATTAATAAACCATCCTGTACCGGCTATACTCGTCTAATAATCCAAAAGTTACAATCAAATTCCACGATAAAGGAAACAAGACATGTTAACTTCACTTCAAAAATATTTTTTTACTGTAGGTAAGCCACCAGCCAAAAATACACACCATCATTGTTTAGGAGCAAAAAGAACAGAACTATCATATGATAACGTGAGGGAACATAACTTCAGCTTGCACCATGTCACAAAGTTCATATCCTGGAGCTGATTTAGATAACTATCAGTATATCATGTCAATGTATGTTTTTGCACCCAAAAATTCCCAGCGTTATAAAATATCTCCAGCATTGCATTGCATGTTTAGACACCAAAAAATGCAACATATGAATTCTTAAACAAATTAAGCAGTTCCTGCAAGACTTTCACTTACTTGATCTTCACAGGGCCGTTTTGGAGCCACATTGTGTTCATTTCCTGAGAGTCTCTTTTCATGAGTTTTATTCAGTACATTGAGTTCGGTGTCCAAGCTAGATAGGTGGCGAGTTTTTCTGTTTACATTTCTGACCGAGTTTTTCACTGGAGCATGCAATGAAGTGAATCGAGCAAGGGCTTTTGTCGAATATCTTGTCGGATATCTAGAAGGCCTTGAGAATGGTGAGAAGTCCTAAACATATGGGAAAATCAGAAACAGGAAAAAAGAAACGGTAATCACGCAGTTGCAGAACTAACTTGCAGGGTGCAATCTGAACTGAACACTGTTAAAAAATAAACAATTAATGATCACAGCTACAAACTCAAAGGTCGGAGCCTTTGCACCGTCCAAAAGCATCTAAAAGCAGAAAATTATACCAGAAGCACCAACTGTTACATATCAACCATTAGATCTAGTACACATATAACAAATAAATAATCTTTATACTTAATAAATAACTTATAATCCATAGCAAGAATTCCATATTCTCCAATCACATGCATATTTTATCCTCCACAAGAAAAGAAAATACAATTTTGGGATCCAAACCAAGATAAAGTAGAGCTGAAAAAAAGAAGCTTACACCAAGCAGGATAAGCTAAAATCTATAAGCAAAAATATAGATAATACTGGGGTTGGGGCTTGGGGGCAAGTTATTTTTTTTTTTTTAAGAGAATATAAATCCACCGACACAAACTGGTACTAGATAAAATATTAAAAAAACACATCTTTAGTCACTTGTTGCCACCGAGAAAAAAGAAAAAAGAAAAAGCACAATCTCACAGCAAGAACCATTTTAACTGAGAGTAAGTTCAATAACAATTAACAAGAATCAATTTTTACAACCATGGGTCAAACAAAAAACTAGAAAATATTGAAAATTTGACACACTTACAGCCATTTTGCTGAAAAGAATCAACAATCTTGATGAATTTGCAGAGAGGTTGGGAGAGTACAAGAAAGATTAATTTGCTCTAGAATAGCAGTTTAAATGTGCTAAAAATCCTTTCTTTTTTGCGAGTAGTATTGTAAGGACAGACAAATTGAAACGCGAGAAATGTGGGTTGCTGTAAGTTTGCCACAGCAGCCCCTTAACCCTTCTTACTGCCTTTTATTTTAATCCCAGAAACAAACAGAGGATGCGCAAAACAACCAGAGAGGAACAAAGCATACAAACATAGAGCTATGAACAAACACATCACAATTCTTCCTTACAACATTTTTTCAGAAAAAAAAAAAAAAAATCATTAAACTAGCAAAAAGTGCAGAAAGAGATATTTGCTATAAAGTTCTTCCATTTTTTTTACCTCATCTGCAGAATCATCTATGGTGATCGAGCCTTGAGAATTTTCAGCTGGCAGTGGCAGAGCTTTACCTTTTCTTGGGCGTCGGCTTCCTCTTCCCTTCCCTGCCATCAATTGATGTTTGAGTTGGAATTTTCTGGTTTCAATAAAAGCAAAACTGGAGAGTTTGTGCTCAATACTCTCTCTCTCTCTCAAAATAGTGAAATACACACTCAGGGAGAGAGGAGGAGAATGTAAGGACGCATGTCCTTGAATATCAGAACTCAGAACGGCGCAAGTGTCGTGTTCACTTGCCAATGGGGCATGCGTTCCGAGTGTGGACGATGTAGTTGCAAAGAAAAAAGAATAATAATAAATATAAAAAAAAATAACAATGGCCAGTGTCGTTACTTTCCTTTGTTTCGGTTCCACTTTCAGGATTGATTTATACAAATAGTTATATAATTTAACAAAATATTGTTTTTAAACTTGAAAAACATCTTACCTTATTTTTTGTACTACCCCATAATCCGTGCGAGAAGCAATATTCAATTATAATTGTAATATTAGATGATACTATATACGTTAACACGTAAAGAATTAGAATAAAATACAACTACATGTATATCTACATATTTGAAAACAAAATTAAAAACACAACCATTTACTTTCTAACCGGTAATTGCGAATGACATATACTCCACTATCCTCAAACTTGTCACATGTCTTTGGAATGTTAACGGCACGAATTAGTCTATTTATGCAGTCAGCCTATAAAAATTGCAATACAAAAATATTTTTTTTTAAAAAAATATATATATAATTATTGACAACTGATATTAAATCACAAAAATGAAGAATACTAACCTCACTATGATGGAAAACTATTTCGAAATAACTTTGGTAAGATGCATCAAACGTCATATTAAACATGTTGCTGGAAATTTCAAGGACCCTCTTATTTCTTATAAGATCCTCGATTAACCCAAATGTTGATCCATGACTTTATTTTGAACGTGTGAAGGTTCTTTTTTTTTTCTATAATGAGTATTGCATTTCATTTGACCGTGAATGTGAGTTTATTTGTAAATCAAATTTTGGTGCATATATTTTCATTTATTTTCGTAATTTTTAAAATGCGGATTTACATAATATAAGTTTATTGCTTGTTTTGATTTTTTTTGCTGATTTTGGGGGAAATCATATCATATCCCAAGAATATTCTAAGACTTCATTTTTATTTTTTGTTTTGGATTTTGGTGGTTATAAAAATTATATCAATAATATTATGTCTTTATATTTAAATATATGGTTTTGTTTCTGAATGGTGAAAAGGAATTTTAGAAATTTGAGGTTTTCAAATATTTTTATGTCATTTTTTTTATCTGATATGATAAGACTAACCTTTCAGATATTTGGCAATTATAAAATCATTGGGATTTTTGAATCCAACGATATATCGGTAGATGCTTTTTTCTTCATAAATCTACATTTTCGATTGTTGAGATTTGAGAATCTCAATGTTAATTTGGGATATACTCGTTTCTTTAAATGTACATAATAAAAAAGAAGTTTGGTTTTATGAGAATCCCTTATAGTATATTTCTTATTTTTTGTTTAATCCAATTTGTTTTTTTTTTTTAAATCGGCATGTCTAACTGCTTTTGATGGTTCATATTTCAGAATCCCAAAAAATAATTCTCTTTATTTTTTGTTTAATATGTTCTAAAAAATTTCAAATTCGGATGTATAATCCGTTTTTGAATAATTTATGCCTATTTTTGTTATTCAATAACAAAACATACAAATATTTAGCGGTTATATTTTTATATTCTACATTTCTTAAATAATAACCAACTTTATTTTAAAGTAATTTTCTTGTTTAAACTAAAAAACATAATTGAAAACTTAGTTGTGAAATTCCGATTACGAAATTGTTAAAAACATGTAAAAAAAAAAAGAAAAACACAGTGATTTAAAAAAAAAAATGAAAACGTAAAAAAGAATGTAAAAATGAATAGGACACATTAACACAAAAAAAAGCGCAAACAAAAGACTATTTGAAAAAAAACTCAGCAAATTTTTTAAGAGCATCTGCATTAGTCCCCTAATTGAGATAATTACGCCCAAGACGATGCATTCTCAACTTATTTGACTTTCTACGATCTTTTTCTTTTATTTTAATGTTTACGAATTCTTTTATGTTTTATTTGATAAAAGGAGAATCTTTTGTGAAGGTTTGGTCCTAAAAGATTTTGGCCAACAAAGTATGATGCTTCTGGTGGAATATGAATCAGTGAGACTTACGAAAAGAATTGTAGGTATAAAAGCTTTTCATTTTTGCTATTATTTTATAAAAATAAACGTTAAATAAACATGAAGTAAAGTATGTAAGAATTTTATGTTATTATTTCAAGTTCATGTTTGGTTATGTTTCTGTATATGTTTGGTCTATCTAATTTTTGTAAGATTAAGTGCTAAATTTACGTTATTACTTTTTTTAGTATAATATATCTGATTCATTGATGTTTAGTTTTACGGTCATATGATATATGATTAATTTTTTTTTTCTTTTCTTCTTCTTTCATATTGTCATATATTTATTTTGTTTTCAATTTAACTTGTATTGGTGGAGAAAGTGGAGAGAGATAATCTGATATATAATCTGACATGAAAAAATGAATTGTTTGGTATGTTTTAGCTTTTAAATCCTCGTTGTCTTTACTCTTTTTGTTCGTTTTTATTATTGTATTATGGAGAAATAATCAAGAGTTTATCGTTATCCAAATAAGCAAATAACGACAATTACGGAATTGATTGAATATCGGCGATTGACACGTGAGAAATCTTGTATTATTTTGTGATTTAATTTACATAGTTGAGTATTAGATATTAGTGTATTATGCAAGTTTTCTCATGTATTTATTTTGTGAATGGACATACACCAACATTTGATTTTGTGTCTATTTTGCAGCTATTACTCATATTTGTGACGTGGAAGAAATAATGATGTGGATTAAAATGTTGCACTGACCGAGTTTGAGAGAGGAGATAAATTAATTCGCTTTGTGGGTGATTTTGTGGCATGCTGAGGGGATTGAAATTTTGCTATAGGTTGGACTCTTAATTCCCTTGGGCATATGTGTGCGTGGAAAAGGAAAAAAGAGAGTAGATAATTCCAATTACACAGCACTCTCAATTTGGTTGATTAGGATTAGTTGGAAAGAATTAAAAAGGGAGAGGAATTATTTTGGAAGAGAACGGAACGTGAGATAGGGAGAAAGGCTTGGAGATCAACTATGAATTATTTGCTGTGAAGAATTTCCAATCGTGGACTATTGAGGAGTTTGACATTGATTTATTTATTTTGATTCTCCTCTTTATTTTGATTTGAGAACATGAATTTTTATTTTTGTTTTAACATTTAGCTATGTGTAGCTAAACACTATTTCGGTTCTAGGGACGTTGAACCCTCGATGACTATGTTCGATTAATGCAATTTATTTCGTTTTACTCGTCGTATAAAATTGTTTGTGTTATTCTAATTTCATGTCATAATGTGTGATTTTTAATTTAGCTTGATCACCTAATTAGGAATTGCATGTTAATTGTTAGAGTTGAGGCTTCGATCCGTAATTGTCGTAGTTCTTAATTCAATTGTAGCAACTAACAGTCGTGCATTGTTAGGGATAGCACAACATAAGTTACATGAACCGAGCTTATGTGTTTGTGGCTTAGATTGGTCTATTTTCCTAGATTTTAATGCGACTAGTGGGTTAAATTAGGAGAGCTTATTCCGAGTTATTCGCTAGTTAGAATTAATTGAAGAGCCTATTTAGATTAAGTATAAATTAAGGGAAAATTCGGGTAGCAGAGCTTATTGCTATCTAGGATCGGTAGTTTTAGAAGACGAGTGAAATTTGATAAATGCATTAATTGGGCTAGTTATTCGAGGGTGTAGACCAACCTGGAACCGATTCCATTCTCATTTTTGCTAGATTATTTTTATTTATTTTCCATTTCATCATCATTTGCATTTTAGTCATTTATTTTTAGTTTCTAGTTTAATTTCTCTTTTTGTTAGTAGTTTCGTTTCTAATCAAACCCCCTTATTTTTACTTAAGTATAATTAATACAATAATCACGGTTTATACCACACTCCCTATGGGATCGACCCTTGCTCGCCACTACTACTAGTTAGTAGGGGTTTGACGAGGAAAATTTTATAAATATAAATTTGTCGTGTAACGACGCGCGGTCAAATTTTGGCGTCGTTGCCGGAGAGTGGCGCGATATAAATAGTGATTTTATTTGTGTTAGTTAGTTTATTTGGTGTCAATTTTCATCTTTCAGGTTGCATTTTGGTGTGAATTTTCACTGCTATTCTGTTATCGCCCCCGGTGATAACAGAAAATACGTCGGGTTTTTACGTCAAATTATTTCCGAATTTTATCACGTTTGAGTTAAACTTCTTCTTGATTTCTGTAGGTGAATGAGAACAAGGTCTTCAGGGGCTGAAGATTTGGAATATTATTCAGAGATCACGAGACGGGATACCGAGCTAAGGAAGAAAGCTCGGCATGAGAAGGAGGCAATTCTCGACAAGGGTTTCCAGTTCGAAATCGAAAGCGAGGACTTAGAGGACGAAAGTGAGAGTGACCACAGGTTTCTCTTGGATTCTGAATGGGAGCTGCACGTTAACACTTTTGACTTTCTGACTTTTCCGGCATAACATAAGAGGTGTCTTGTCTCTCTCAATTACATAGATCCTCTCCCTTTGCTTGCTACTCATCAGCCGGAGCTAGCCTAGCAAGCAAAGAGATCCCTACTGAGGGCAAGGTGAGCCGCGCACGAGCAAATATCAGCGAATGGTGATGCCCTAATTTGATGATTTTCTTACGTGACAAAACCCCAACAAACGAAGCGAAGCGAAGTGAAGTCAGAAGTAGTAAAGGAGAGGCCTGTGCCCAGTCAGTCTTCTTCGTTAGATCTGTTTCGATTGGTCAAAGCCAAGAACACACCAATCTTATCACCGAGAACACAACAATGGCGAACGAGGAGCGTACTTTGAGGCAATTTGCTAATGCCGTACTACCACAACAACCACTTTGCGTAACTTTCCCGGAGATGAACGATACCACCTTCGAGTTGAAGTCCGGGCTGATCCATTTGCTGCTCTTATTCCATGGTTCGCTGGTGAGGACCCACACAAACATCTGAAGGAGTTTCACACGGTGTGCTCCAGCATGAAACCCACTGGGGTTACCGAAGAGCAACTCAAGCTACGCGCGTTTCCATTTTCTCTCAAGGATGTTGCAAAGGACTGGCTTCATTACTTGCCTTTGGGATCGATCACTACATGGGCAGAGTTGGAGAGGACCTTTCTCCAAAGGTATTTTCCGGCGATACGAGTCACCGCTCTTCGGAAAGAA